CGTCGAAGCAAATTCCTTCACGCCTGCAAGCACATCAGCATCAATATATTCTCGACGTTCTTTATCAAGACACGGACAAACCCAAAGACTAGGAAAAAGAGTATCCCGAGCAGCACCGCAAAGTTCACACATCTCGGGGAACATGTAGCCTTTCGACCGGGCGTAGGTACGACACCAAATGGCTCCCGTGGCAAGAGCTCGAATAGTGCCCTTCTCAGCCGGGGAGAAACGCTTGCTGGCCAAACAATTAGACACCACGTCAAAGCAAGCCCTCCCCTTGTACCCAAGCTTCGCTCCAATGTCCCATTCCAGTTGACGAAAAACGGCGTCTCTCAAAAGATGGCGAACCAGAGCTGGAGACATCGCGAGGAGCGGGATCTCCATGCCGCGATCGTCGATCAGCGTGGCAAAGTTGGGCATCTGCCAACTGATGCGCCCGAGACTCTTCCTCATCGCCGAAATAGGCCCAGCCACACTCCTCCAGGTTTTCGAGCCCTTGGAAAAAACGGCTTCCCAGGCAACCCTACACTCACGAAGATTCAAGATGGAGGGGTGGACAGCCAAATGACTATGCCAGAGCTCCTTGTGCCACCTACAAATGGGCGCCACCTGGGCGGTCCAGGCGGGGTCAAAGGATCGAGGCCCTCGCTCGGCAAGGCATCGTCGACGCCAGGTGCGGCTCGGAGCGGCTCGAAGACTTCGGGCGACAAACTGAAACAACGAGCAGCCGCTCCCTGCTTGGTGTCAGATGGGGCGCACTCCGTAGGCATCAGAGACCTCGAAGAAAGCTCGGTGCGCGCGTGCTCGTTGCACTTCGCGCACCTGTGCTCACCCGTGCGCTTGCAGACCCAGAACTCACGAGCCGTGATCGCCAGCTCTTTAGCCGCACGCCTAACCACAGGGGCATTCAGAGGCTCCGAGGAAGGAGGGCAAAGCTGGGCCGACTCCTGGGCCACCGCCTGGACCATCCAGGCGAGCACCTCAGCGGAGGCTCTGGCTTTTTGCAGCTTGCGCGCGCGGAAGTTCACAAGAACCTCTCCTGCTTCACGGTGGCGCGCGCCCCACTTCGCGGAAAGATCAGCCCCGCTGCTGCCGACAACATTCTTGAAACTCGCCGAAGGGGCATTCGGCACCTCTCCGGCAGGCCCGCGGGGCGGAGTCCACTCAGAGGTGGGCGGGCGCTCACGCTCAGCAACATCACGCAATGCGCGAGCTCGCCTCCGAATATTGGCATGCGTTGAGGCCGGCCTTTCGTTATGAGCACCCCCACTGCTGCCGGCCCTAACCAGGAACAGATGATCGCCAGTCACATGCGCTGGCTTGCTAGCAATCTCCAGACCCTCAAGCATAGCATAGTGCTCAGCACGCGGGACAGTCTGGACTTGGCCCGAAAGAGGCCCGCACATTGCTCGAAAGATGTTACCTTCACCTGAGAGCTCAACAACAGCCCAACCGCATCGGATCAGGCCGCGGACCCCCGACGCCGAGCCAGATTCATCAGTGAAGATCCGCCGACCCCACACTCCCCGCCAGTCACCCCATCCGAACATTTCCAAGATCGGCTCGACGTCGGGGGGGGGGGAAGCCAGCAGGGGCGGCAACCCGCACGAGAGGAAGAAACATTCGACCCCTTGGGCTCCATTAGCATTGGCATAGCGATCTCGAAGCTCCGCCCGATACTCCAAAACAGCATCCGGCACAGAGCCTACCTCCTGGTCGGTGCTGTCATGTAGCATCCCAGGACAATCAAACCACTGATGCGCATACGTGCCAACAGCCGTCTTGCAAACGAAACAATTGTCCGACTCGCGCTTTTGAATCGAGTGCAGCCGCTGCGGAGACCAGCAAGCAGCCGCCCAAAGCGCCCCAAGAGCGCCTTGTCGAGCAGGGTTGTTAAAAGCCAAAACAGAAGCACGCATGGCCTGGAGCGAACAAGTTTCGCCCGCACTATCGGCGAAATATGCTAAAATCCGCTGAGCCTGCCACCGCTGCAGCCCCTCTTCGAGGAAGCGCTTGACGTCCGCAGGGCAGGCGCGGACAAGATCTACCTGCCTGCCGACGTCATCCACGAGAACACTAGGCGATAGCATCGACCAGCCAATCCTGAACAAGGTAAGGAAAGTCGACGAGACAGGGCCACGAGCTCTCGTCCACGCCACCCGACTCGAAAACCTCGTGCGGACTTGCTCCCAGGCTCGGCGCAGCCGGCTCGGGCTGACTCGCTGATCCCAGATCCACGCGGCGTATCTGCACACCAACGGGATCGTGGCGTCAAAAAGAGGATCGAATTTAAAACTTCGCTGGGTAGCGAAGTAGAACGCATGACAACGCATCGACTTCGCCCCGACCAGGGCCCCCACCAGAGTGCGCAAGGGGCTGAGCGCGGTGTCGGGAAGTGCTGAAACCCCAGCCCCGTGCCCAGAGGAGGGCATTAGCCCCGTGCGCCAGAGCCCCGCTACTCGACATCCCACTGCGCGGCGGAGAATCCTGAGCTTGGCCTCGCACGAAAAAACTTTGCGGACCCGGGCTTTCTCCCGGGCCCGCTGAACCCGAGGACCGTGCATTTCGTGCCCAAGGTTCCGCATGGCCTTCTTGGAGACCAGCTTCAAAAAACTAGCAAAACAAGCAAAACGCTTCCTAGCGCGAATCGCGCTGGCCACGAATCCGCTCTTGGGGAATTGCACCAGCAGCCCCGAGGGCTTGACAGCTGCGACAAAGGCCCGCAGCGCTGCAAACAGCTCGAAAACCGCATCCCTCCCTCCCGACCGACGAGACATGGCCCGCTCCCCCGCCCACTGAAAACTAACATCGTCAATCAGCGCCCTGGGGCGAACGTTCGGGAAGGCAGCCACGGTTCGCGTCAGGCGACGATGCAGGAGGACCATGAGCATCGTGGTGGCCAGAGGACAGCCTGCCCAAATGCCCTGCAGCGATGCCACCGCGTAGCTGAACCCGCCGTAGGCCTTGATCGCACGAGGCTGAACATGGGTCTGCATCGCCATCCAGCACAGCCGCATCGGGAAACGAACCGCTCGCGCTTCTTCTAACAACATGCTGAGCTTGACCGTCTCGCAGCACTTCATCATGTCGAGAAAAGCGCTCAGCGCGTCCTCATTAAGCTCGTGGCCTATCTCCGCCTCCATGTTAAGGCTGAAGGCACAGTCGCTCGAGGACCTCCCCGCACCAGTGCCCCAAAAGGCCTCCGACTGATTGGCATCCTGCCACGAAGCCGCTAACGGCCTGCGAATTCCCACGCACGCAGCAATGTGCGAATCAAAACGATCAGCCGACTTCCGCCTGAATCTTTAGGGATACGAACCAGCTGCGTGATGATCCGCTTCTGCGGCCACTGGGGGAGCTGCTCGCATTTTGAGAAAAGCCGCCCAAGCACAAAAAGACCAATATCGCTGGCGTACCAAAGGCTGCGTGGCAATAACTGGAATTGTCCCACTCCTGTCTTCCAAGGAAATGATAGAACCGCCTGCCTGATCATCTCAAAGAGATTGAAGGCAAGGCCTCCCGACCTGCAGCACCGCCAGGAAGTGGTACGGACTGCTGGTCGTGCCAGCCCCAGATGCCGTCCCAGAACCGCACCGACCTCTCAGCCATCACATAAGGCTGGGCCAGATCATTGTTCAAATTGCCCCAATCAAGGATCTCCTGCGCAGCCTCCGCCTTGGAGAATCGATGGGCAAGTCCTGCACCTCGCTCAAATGAAGTTTCAGCCCGCTTCTTCCATTGATCCAAACTGCGCTTACCGAGGGCATCAAGAACCTCACCGGCTCTGCCAAGGATCAAATCAACACGATCCTCCAGATGCGGGTCCGACAGCATGTCGAAGCCAAAGGCAAACATCTGCTGGGCCCAGGGATCCGTGCCCTCAATGGCTGTGGATGCGTGTATGCGAGAATGCCAGCGCTCGAATTCAATCAACTGATGAGCCAGCTTCTTGATCGCAGTCGAGGGGTCCACACCCAGACCTCTGTCCGCCACTCGCCAAGATATCTGGTGGCGAAGTGACTGGCGCGCAATGCGAACGTGTCTGGCCCAGCGGGCCGCCACCGTCCAAGCGTGCCCCTCATTAGAATGAGCAGAGGGCCTGTCTGGAATGGGGACCTCCAACTTGGCCCACTTGTACCTGGCCGGGCCATGGAACGTCTGGGCAGCAGCAATACTATCAAATGTGTCGTATCTCTCGCACAGTTTCTGACCTAGGGTGCCCAGTGCGGCATCTCAGGTCGCTTGCAAAGAAGAGGTGTCGTGAGCACTCTGAACCAGTTGCAAAACGACGTCTCAATCAGGGGGCCAACGCGAGCATCCGACAGAAGACCCACGTGGAACAAGGTGTGGTTCAGCCAGCTGTCTGACCCACATTGGGAGCTCATGGCCTAGCACTTCCAGCGCCGCAGGCACATGTGGAAATGCACCAGCGCCCCCAATAGCAAATGGCAGTTTGGTTCGAAGGACCAAGCTCTCGGATAGCATAAACATATCGATGCGACTGCCTGGCGTAGACTGTCTGCGGTTTGTAGCCTGGGCCCTAGCCACGACTCCGCCCGCAGAATATAGCCGAGACAAGTCACCCATTTCCTCGTACTCCATGTTGAAGTCGCCGCAGATCAGCCACGCAGAGCCACGGGGTGAACCCGGCAGCAAACTCGGCCATTTCGTGCAATATGTGCACATTGAGAGGCGACAGCCCCTTACCCGCTACCAGGTAGAGCGCGACGATGACAATCCCACCTGGAAGGCCCCACTGAACTTTCGCTGAAATTACCCAACCAGGCACAATGACCGGGCCAGCGCGACAAGGCGGAGCCGTAATCATGGCCCTGCCGCACGAGAGGGCCGTCAGGCCTCCTGAGCAGCCACCTTTATCAGTAGTCTCTGCCGCCGCTCAGACGCCACTCCAACTCTCACCAAGGGCGCGGCGCTGCAGGTCAGGAAGGCGGTCGTCATCAGTTTTGTGTCCCTGAACAGCAAGAAAAGTCGCCACGCACCTCGGCAAGAAGCTCATGAACTGCTTGCCGTCGGAGATGTTGGCCGTGATGACCTGGCCCCTGGTGGCCTCGGCAAGTAGTTCCTGGCCGAGCCCTGACATAGCCAACGCCCTGCCGGCCTGGCCTAGGGTGAAGCTCGCTCGCGACAGCAGGGCCGGGGGGCTACGCGTCTGCATCTTTAGCCGCTCCGTCATCAGCAACAGCACCGCGATCCTGCACGGGCGCTTGGCTCGACGCAAGGCCACCGGCCCCAACCGCCACTGACGGCGGGGGCGCGCGCCCTGCAGGCGAAGCCCCCCGAACATAGGGCAGCACATGCCCTGCCAGCTGCAGCCCAACACCAGGAGCGACGGGAGCTGCTGCAGACTGCCCAAGACGAAGGCAACAAGCTAAGCGGAGACCGTGTAGCCACGTCGTGAAACCACTCGGCCGAACGAGACTTCTTCTGCGCCTCGCCTGCCAGGTTGGCCAACATGAGATCCCGCTGGCGCTCGTACTGGGCGCGGATCGCAGTCATGTCTCCAGCCGGAGTGGCACCCATGCCCTCAATGAAGGCTTTGATCTGGTCTACGTCCACATCTTCAGCCATGAAGTCAGCAACCTGAACCTTGGGCCCAGTGGGGCGGTCGTCGACAGGCCCGGAACCCGCAGGGCCAGCGCCCGCAGAAGCAGCGCCGTCGCCATGAGCAGCGGGCCCATGAAGCCCACCAGCGGCAAGTCCCGCAGCAGCGGCCTCGCGGGCCGCTCGATATCGTTCTTTCTTGGCCTGGTCCAGCGCCTGCAGGCCCTGAGTGGCGGCGCCCAGCTGGCCCTTGACCGCGCCGTCGTCGCCCAGCTCCTGCAATAAGGAGCCCAGCTTCTCGACCGTGACTCCCAGCCCCGACGCTGGCGTGGAGGGCTGAGCGTTCTCAGGCGCCTGAGGCACGGTATCCGCAAGCCTGCTCTGCTCAGCATTAACCTCCAACAGCTCAGACTCCGCGTCCTGGATGATCTTCTGCTGCTCCGCGAGCTTCTCGCGGAGGAGCTCCATCTGCTTCTGGATTTGCGCCAAAGCCTCGTCCTGTCTCCTGCTTCTCGAGCTTGAGCGATCGCTGTGCCAAGTCGCCGAGGCGCGTGCACACCGGACGCGACGCTGCCACCGCCGAGCGCAACTTGGCCCGCTCGTCCTCCAGCTGGGAACGCAACTGCATGAAAGCCGTCTCCTGCAAATCCTTGATGCGCAACAGGCTGTCGTCAATCGTCGCAATGCGCTCCAGCTTCTTCTGCGCATCATCGACCCCTGGGGCCCCGTCCTCCATGTCCATGCTGTCCTGGTCCTCGCCCTCAGCCTTAGCCAAACGCGCCTTGGTCTCAGCCAGCTCCATCTCCAACTTGGTGATAATCGACTTGTGTTGCCAAAGCGTGCCCGCGAACTTGCCAAAGCCTCTGCCATGTCCGGCTCCAGCCCCAGGCTTGCTCGGGTTACCAGGAACAGGCCGAGGGCAGAGGAAGGCCACCCCTTTCGCCAACCCACATTTCGTACATTTGTTGGCGTCGCTACGGCTCCACCACGCCAATCCTGAGGTAGGGTGCTTACACTTCTTGCAGCACCGAGCCGTAGCCAGGAGAGCTCGCTGTTGGGCCCTCCGCGAAAGCCCTCCGCCAGCTGGCCCTCCGCCTGGACGGTTCGCCATCCCGCTGCTGGTGCCAGGAAGGCGACGGCAGCCAGTCAGACACGTGTAAGAGTTATCGTGATTGCACGCTCCCGCAGGAGCAAGAAATGCTCGCAACAGCACGCGGCCGTTTTGAAGAGCATGCCGTTGCAAGCCCAAATACTTGGGCCAGAACGGCTGAAGAGGAGAAGGAGGAGGAGGAGGAGGAGGAGGAGGAGGACGAGGAGAAGGAGAAGGAGGAGGGGGAGGAGGAGAAGGAGGAGGAGGAAGAGGAGGAGGAGGAGGGATTGGTTGCGGGGCCGGGCTGAATCCCCCCCCTGCGTTTCGGAAACTTCTCGGTTTGCTGCTCCTTTTCGTTTTTTGCTGTGGGTGGGTCGTTCGATTTTTTTTTTGGGGGGGGGAGGATCTGTCCGAATCGTTCCCATGTCCGTTTCCTGTTTTCTCGTGCGTCGGTGGGGCATGGCCAGGAATGCGCCTGACGTTTCGGGGGAAGGGGGGGGGCCTTGACAAGGGCGGGGGCGCCGTTTGGTCAAGCTTTCGATTGTGCGACCCCTCGCACCATCAGATTCGTGACCAGGGAGGAGGGCTTGCAACCTGGGCATGCGGAGAAGATCAATAACTTTTAGATTGTTGTTCCCCCCCACACCCCCCGTGAAGGGGAAATGTGGGACTATGTGGGGGCTGTTTTGTTGTTTCTCTCTCTCTCTATCTCTCTTTCTCTCTCTCTCTCTCTCTCTTATTTGTTCGCTCTCTCTCTCTCTCTTTTTCTCTCTTTCTCTCTCTCTCTCTCTCTCTCTATATATATATACACACCTAATGAGCAGTACTCCATCGGCCCAAACTGCCGAAGAGATAGAATATATAACCTTCGATCCAGCTATGCCTAACGTGTAATACAACCACTCTTACTCGCAACTCTTCAACCATTGACGATATAATGCAACAGCCATCCAATCCAGATGATACTGCTGACAGGAAAAGGCGACGTCATCTGTGCTTCATAGTGCCATTCTGAAAACCAACAATGGCTTTGCTTGTCCGAAAACTTGAGCAAATAGAGGATGGCGTGTTACCCGGTGTTCTTAATATCATTGGAGTGTTGACGAAGCAACTCCTGGCCTTGGCATCGACATTCAATGCGGGAGAACTTGAAGATGCCAAGATACCGTACGCCGCCCGGTGCAACTCAATGGATATAGTTCTCAGCGTTTGCAGCTGCAGAGAACTGAGGCACTCATCTGGCGAAGATTGCGAAGGCCTTACGGCCGGTGCCGCCGACCCTGTTCGCAATGCGCAGCAAGAGGCACGGGCTGTGGGATGGTTTTGGGGAGAGGGGAGAAGGACGAGAAGGTGGTGGAGGGAGGTGTACTTTTGCTGGTAGTCGTTTTCTTCCTGCCGTTGCTGTTGGCCATGATGATGGTCTTGGTGGTTCTCTTGCTGCTGGTGTCGCGGGTGCTGCTGGTGGTTCGGTCGTTCCTGGCGATGGTGACGGTGTTGCTGGTGGTGGTGTTCCGTCTGCTGCTGCCGTCTTGAGGCTATCTTTGGGGTCCTTTTCAAGCGCTCTTGGGACTTCACCGGAACTTTGGAGGTCGTCTTGGAGGCATCTTGGGCCATCTTGGCGACCTCGGTGGCCTCCCAGGTGCGTCTTGGAAGCCATAGTGGGTCTGTTGGACGACTGGGAGAGCCCCGGGAAGAGGGGGCCAGCCATACGGGTGGGTGCGATCCGGTGGGTGGGACCTCCACAAAGAGTACAGAAGCCCTACCAGACAGCACTTGGCATTCTAGCACGCCCCAACGTACCAGGGGTCACGGTGGCGGATTATAATCGTTATCCACTGGAGGGGAGGATGAGTAGCAAGAAGACGACGAGGGAGCGTCCTTGCGTTGCATATCTGATGGAGGAGGAGGAGGAGGAGGAGGAGGAGAAGGAGGGCGACATTGACATCCGCCTCGGGGTGCACTACAGCGCGGGGGCCCAATCAGCTAGCAACTGGCCTTCTGGCTCAGCCCAAGCGGCTGCAGAGAAGAACCGGCTCCACCGAATCCTACCCCAGGGGAGAGAGTTATAGTTCTCAGCGTTTGCAGCTGCAGAGAACTGAGGCACTCATCTGGCGAAGATTTTGCTTTGACGTTTAGCTTCATCACTTTGGCCTTCCTAGACGTCGCGCACGAGCAAATAACATCAAATAAGACTCTGCATCATTCGCGATTTGAGTCTCGACCCTTCGATGCTACCAGCGTCGCACCGAGGCCGGCACAGCCAAGGCAAGCCGGCGAGAACGTGTGGAGGAGGAAGACGAGACGACGACGACGAGGACGACAAGCGGACAGGCTACGAGGCCAGGAAAGGCGAGAAAGACGAGGGACACGAAGAGGAACGACGAGAGGGGGATGTCGGCTCATGAGAGCCCGGAGGCCGCAGAACGGCCACACCGCACGGAGGAAGAAGCCGCGCGCCAGTAGCCGCGGCCCGCTGCGGAGGAAGAAGCCGGCACGCTGCGTCATTCGATGCAGGGCCTAGGACCAGGCACGTTCGTTCGCAAGCCATGTCGCACGACACATCGGCTCAGCAGGGGAAAAAATCCTTTCCGCGCAGGATGGCGGCAATCGTATATTACACCTAGGCAAATATGGGACCAATGGAAAGGCCATATTGTTTGACAATTGCTTTCCAGATTGGCTGTCTATGCGCTGCAAAACGAGGGTGCCTGAACAAATAAGTTAATACACCTCTGGTGTCGATTCGTTGATTTTTCCTGCTCTTGTGGCCCCCCCCCTGTATTTTGAGGGGCCCAGGCGGCCACAGGAGGCCCAGGAGGAAGCCCCAGGAGGTCCCCAGGAGGCCCCAGGAGGCACCAGGAGGCCCCCGCAACTCGGAGCTCTGAGACGCCGCGCTCGAGGTGGTCTTGTGGCCCCCCCCCTGTATTTTGAGGGGCCCAGGCGGCCACAGGAGGCCCAGGAGGAAGCCCCAGGAGGTCCCCAGGAGGCCCCAGGAGGCACCAGGAGGCCCCCGCAACTCGGAGCTCTGAGACGCCGCGCTCGAGGTGGTCCGGCCCTTTTCGCCTGAGACTTCCTCGCAGCACGTTTTCGTCGCAACTCTGGGGTCCGAAATGCCGCGCGCGAGGTGGTCCAGCCCGTTACGCTGGAGACATCCTCGCAACTCTGGGCTCCGAGATGCCCTTCGGGATGAATAGGAGGTGGACGAGGAGGAGGAGGAGGAGGAGGAGGAGGAGGAGGAGGAGGAGGAGGAGGAGGCATGTTTTAACATGCCATGCCAGCCCGCACTGGACGGGCACGCAATCGACCTTGGAAACCGCAGTGAGCTAAAACACCCTGTTTGGGGATACTGCACTCCGGCTACAATTCTATTGAAAATGCTAAATTTCTGTTTCCGGCGCCCGGGAGGCCTCCTGAGGGCCTCCCTGGGCCGATTCCGACGCCCGGGCCGGCGCCCGAGCCGGCGCCCGGCGCCCGGGCCGGACCCCGAGCCGGCGCCCGGGCCGGCGCCCCTGGCGCCCGGGGCCGGGTCCGGATCCGGTTCCGGCCGGCGCCGGAAAATCGAGTTCCGAGGCGGCGCCGAAAAAAGGCCATTCCAATACACATTGTTCTTTTGAAAATGCCAAATTTTTGCTTCCGGCGCCCGGGGAACTCCCGGGCCGATTCCGACGCCCGGGCTGGCAACCGCCCGAGCAAGCGCCCGGGCCGGACCCCGAGCCGGCGCCCGGGCCGGCGCCCGCGGGCCGGGTCCGGAGCTGGTTCCGGCCGGCGCCGGAAAATCGAGTTCCGAGGCGGCGCCGAAAAAAGGCCATTCCAATACACATTTTTCTTTTGAAAATGCTGAATTTCTGCTTCTGGCGCTGGGGAAACCTCCCAGGCCGATTCTGGCGTGCTTCCGCTCGTTCCGAATCGTGCTCCCGCTGCAGCGCTGGCCTGATTTCCGCGCTTCCGCTCGTTTCGACTCGTTCTCCCGCTGCAGCGCTGGCGTCATTTCCCGCGCCATGCCACGGCATGCAATGCAATGCTAAGTTGATGCTAAGCTTCGCGGTGCTCGTCTACGCCATGCCACGCCGTGCTCTACAATGCATCGCGTACCCTTTCGGGATCATTGCCCTGCTCGACATCCGACTGTGCGAGTAGAGGGGGAACTGCGTCATGGTAAGGGATGGGAGGGAGGGGTAGGATGTCAGATATGACGCGAGCGCACCTAGCTTGCCCCTCCCCCCTCCCCCTCCCCCCCCCCCCCCTCCCCCTCCTCCTCCTCCTCCTCCCTCCTCCTCCTCCTCCTACCTCTCCTCCGCCTCCTCCTCCTCCTCCTCCTTCGCCGCCTCCTCCTCCTCCTCCTCCTCCTCCTCCTCCTCCTCCTCATCCTCCTCCCCGTCCCCCGTCCACCGTCCCCGTCCCCCGTCCCCCGTCCCCCGTCCCCCGTCCCCCGCCCCCGTCCCTCCTCCTCCTCCTCCTCCTCCTCCTCCTCCTCCTCCTCCTCCTCCTCCTCCTTCTTCCTACAGCCCTGAGGACCAACGTCTGAGGTGTCCACACATGCATACGTCAGCGGTGAGAATGGCGGCAAGTATAACGGGGGGCGAGGAGAGCAGCAACGCGCACGAGAGACACAGCCGAATCTCGCCCGCAAGACCTGGCAACACTGCGCTCGCCCGAAGGAGCGAGTAGCACATGAAACAAGGACCTTAGACGGGAAGCGCAACCCCAACATACATGGGGGCGCCAGCAGCCAAGACGAGAAGCGCAACCCAACGGACGACGTGGGGCGCAAGGAATGGCGTATGGGGGCACAAGAATGGATGCACTAGGCGCACCAAGAATGCAGCTAAGCGCCACTCACTGGTAGACAATCTCAGGACTCCTGGCGGCCGTGCGGCAGTGCATCTCGTCGAAGGCCGTCTTGTCGCTGAGCAACGGTATGAAGACAGCGGCCACCCCAGGCTGCCCTTCTTGAGCAGCGAGGTCGTACAATATCTGGAACACCTGGTCGTTAGCAACTGGGTCCATATGTTGGCACTCGGGAGCGGCCCTTTGGAACGCCATGCCGAGGAACTTTTTCGTATGGGAGCCGATAGGCTCAAGACAAGATGCCTTGACACGAATGGCCTCCGCACCAGTCTTAAAGGCCCAGCGGTCAGCAGCGTCGTCGTAGAAGCTCAGGGTGCCTTCACGTCCATTTAGCAGCGGCCTAGCCTCGAGGCCAACAAGGTGCGCGGCCATGCCTGGAACGAATGTGCGCTTCTCGCCGTGCTGCTGAGGAACAATGGCCTTTCCGTGCCGCTGGGGCTTCACCGCATCAATATCAGTCTCCGCCTTGGCACAGGGTTCGCTCTCCATCGCCGCAGAGCCCGATCCAGTCGCGCCACCTTCGCCAGGAAGCTGCACACTGGGCGACTCATCCTTCTCACGCGCCAGGACTGGCCCGATGGACTCGGCGTGCGTCTGGCGCTCGGAGCCCTCCTGCACCGCAGAACGCATGTCCGGCGGCGTATCAGAGGAGCCTCCGAAGAAAACCGGAAGGGGTTTCACGACAAGACGGATGTGGGACTCGCCTTTGGAGTCTTGTGCCCGTGGTCCACGATACTAGCGTTGTCGATGTCCAGCTGCACCATGTGGAGCAAACTTATCATGAGGCTGTTCCGCATAGTCGGCTCCCAGACGGGGAACAGGCAGATCTGCATGATCAGCTTGTCGCTGTGGCTGCACTGTTTGACAACACCTTGGCGGCCATTCGCTAGCTCCTGGATGATCCAATGGAGCCTGGCTGCTGAGACCATGGCGGCGCGGGGGGCAAGGGGGGAGAACAGCGGCTCGCAAGTGCAAGCGAATGGCCCCTCCTCAGGCAGACGCCTGAGCCACAGGGGCTTCCTCCTCCTCCTCCTCCTCCTCCTCCTCCTCCTCCTCCTCCTCTTCCTCCTCCTCCTCCTCCCTGGCTGCTGAGACCATGGCGGCGCGGGGGGCAAGGGGGGAGAACAGCGGCTCGCAAGTGCAAGCGAATGGCCCCTCCTCAGGCAGACGCCTGAGCCACAGGGGCTTCCTCTCCTGCTCCTCCTCCTCCTCCTCCTCCTCCTCCCCCCCTGCCCCTCTCCCCCTCCCCCCTCCCCCTCCCCTCCCCCCTCCCCCCTCCCCCTCCCCCCCCCACCTTCCCCCTCCCTCTTTTCCCCCCTTCCCACTTCCCCCCCCCCTCCCCCCCCTCCCCTCCCCTCCCCCTCACCCTCCGTACTCCCCTACCTCTCCTCTTTCTTTGTTCACAGTCCTCCTCCTTCTCCTCTCCGCCTCGCCTCGGCCTCCGCCTCCGCCTCGCCCTCCGCCTCCGCGCCTCCGCCTCCGCCTCGCCTCTCTCCTCTCTCCTCTCCACTCTCAGCCTCCTCTTCCTTCCTCTCCTCCTCCTCCTCCTCCTCCTCCCGACCCCTCCTCCCCCTCCTCCTTCTCCTTCTCCTTCCTTGCCTCTCCTCCTCTCTCCTCAGCACCTCTCCCCCTCCTCCCCCCCCCCCCCTCCATGTCCCCCTCCCCCTCCCCCTCATACCCGTCACACTCCACCTCCTCCTCCGCCTCATCCTCTCTCCTCCTCCTCCTACCTCATCCTCTCCTCCCCGTCCTCCTCCTCCTCCCCTCCTCCTCCTCCTCTCCATCCCTCCCCTCCCCCCCCCCCCCTCCCCCTCCCCCCGCCCCCCACCCCACCCCCCTTTCCCCTCCCCCCTCCCCCCCCCCTCGCCCTCGCACCTCGCCCTCACCGCGCCCCTCCTCCTCCTCCTCTTGCTCTTGCTCTTGCTGCTCCTGAAGGGGACATGCCCCCGCGCGCCCCCATGCGCGCGAGCCGCGCCCGGATGCCAGCGGCGCTCACGCCCTAGAGGCTCCAGGTCACGGCCCATGCTGCCACTGCCCGCCCTGCACTGCCATTGCCCAGAATTCTCGCAGGCGCCGATCCCAACGCTGTAGCTGGTTACGTTGAGCCCCACCTCCGAATTCCACCTCCCGCTGAGCAGCGCCACTGCCCACTGCCACCGCCCAGATGTCACACAGGCGCCGACTGCAACACTGTAGCTGGTCACGCCGGGCCCCCATGCGGCCCCCTACGCCCCACTGAGTGACGCCGAATCCTGCTGCAGCTGTACGCCCTCCCCCTCGCACGCGCACACTCCAACACTTTAGCTGGCGACATGGGGCCCCACATCCGACTCTAACAGTGTAGCTGGTGACGTTGGACCCGACATCCGGATTGAACACCCCGCTGAGCAGCACCACTGCCCACTGCCACCGCCGAGATTTTCTCACAGGCGCCGATCCCAACACTGCAACCGGTCACGCCGGGATCCCATGTAGCCCCCCAAACCCCGCTGAGCGACGCCGATTCCTACTGCAATTATACGCCCGCATTGCACGCGCCCACTCCAACACTGTAGCTGGCGACGTTGGGCCCACTTCCGGATTCCACATCCCGCTGAGCAGTGCCACTGCCCACTGCCACCGCCCAGATTTTTCAAGGCGGCGATCCCAACGCTGTAGCTGGTCACGCCGGGCCCCCACGTGGCCTCCTACACCCCGGCGGGCGACGCCGAATCCTGCTGCAAGTATTCGCCCCCACGCGCACGCGCACACTCTAACACTGTAGCTGGTGGCGTTGGGCCCCACATCCGACTCTAACAGTGTAGCTGGCGACGCTGGGCCCCGCATCCGAATGCAACATCCCGCTGGGCAGCACCACTGCCCATTGTTACGGCCCCGATGTTCTCACAGGCGCCGACCCCAACGTTGTAGCTGGTCCCACCGGGATCCCATGTGGCCCCCCCAACCCCGCTGAGCGACGCTGAATCCTGCTGCAACTGTTCGCCCCCCCCTCGCACGCGCCCACTCCAACGCTGTAGCTGGCGACGTTGGGCCTATTTCCGGATTCTACATCCCGCTGGGCACCACCACTGCCAACCCCCACCGCCCAGGTTTCTCAAAGGCGCCGATCCCAACACTGTAGCTGGTCACGCTCGGTCCGCACGTGGCCTCCCATACTCCGGAGAGCGACGCCGAACCTTGCTGCAACTGCTCCCCCCGGGCCCACATTTCGCACAGGCACTGATCCCAGCACTGTAGCTGGTCATGTTTGGGCCGTCGTTCTGGCACGCGCAGATTCCAGCACTGTAGCTGACGACGTAGAGCACCACACTCGAATTTCAGATCCCGCTAAGCAGCACCACAGCCCACTGCCACTGCCCTCCCACTCCGCCCTTACCTCCTCCTCCACCTCCACATCTACGTCGCCGTCGTCCTGGCCTACCCTGCCCTCCGCGTCCACGTCCCCAACCTCGTCGTCCTTCCCACCTCGAGCTCCACTGCCAGGCCCGCCACAGCCATGAGAGACGGCGACTGTGTGCAACGGGCGGGGGGAGGAAGGGGCCGAGGGCAGGGGGGGAGGAGAGGGCAGACGTCGCCTAGGCGGTCCGGGAGGGCGCCGCCCGGGCCAAGACGATCGACTCCACGCAGACCCCGAAGTACTCAACACAAACCTCCAGGGCGTCGACCGAGGGCGCACCGGCCAGCGTCCACTGGGCAACCCGCCCCTGTGCCGTCCCAGGGAGCGCCTGCCTCCACTCCCGGGTGCCGGCACACATCGCCAGAACATGTTCCAGCGATGCTGCCGCACACCCGCAGAGTGGGCATGGTTCTACGCTCTCCTGGATGTCCTCGTGTAGCCACAGGCACAGCGGCAAGTGCCCGCTGATCCGCGCGAACATCCACGCCGCGAAGAAACGCCAGGTCCGCCTACTCCACGGCGCCCACTGCAACTGAATTGGGAACGGGGTGCGAAGCGGTGCTAGGGCCGCGTAGGGGAGCGTGGACAGCTGGGCCTCGAACCATGCCTGCTCAGATCGGCGGATGGCTGGTGCCACAACCGAAAGCTTCCACTTCGCAACCCACGCCTTGCACTGCGCCCGGTCGTCGCGGTTGATGGCCGAAGTGTCACAGAACGCAGCGAAAGGCTGGATGCGCAGGTCTGCAATGAGCGCGTCGGCGTGATCCAACCAAGTAGCACCTGTGACGGACCGGGCCGCGACGCATGCCTGCCGAGCCACCGCCCGGTCCGGTAAGAGGTCGATCCTGGCCCTCGCGGTGACGATCCGCTTGAGGACCAGGGCGGCCACCCGGTTTAATAGGCGCATCTCTGAAAATACTCTGACGTGCCCCCCCGCACCCAACGAAACCCCTGGCCGCAAACCGAGCATAATCTTGGCGGCCGAGTACATAGCCTCGTTAAGCTTGCGCGCGACCACCGCCCACCCGCCTGCGTAGGAAGCCAGCGGCTCCGTGCCGTGGAGGGCCGACGGGCAAACGCGCTTATAGAATTGCTCCACGGTTAGCGGGGCGCCCAGGCCCAGGTCACGGGTGGACGTGGTGAGCTCGGCTGCGGCCGCTATGAGCTTCGCGCGCGCGCGGTCCAGGAGCCCCTGGAACGAGAGCTGGTTGTCGACCGCCGTACCCAAGACATCCAACCACTGCACCTCTGGCACCGTCTCGCCCGCCACTGTTCCGAAGTCCCTTGAAGTACCCGGCGGGGCGCAGACAGCAAGGACAGACGGCCGCTTAACCCCCCCTTGGAAAACGTGCCTCCAATTTTTGCAGAAGGCGTCCATGCTTTCAGAGACCGCGCGCACCCCGGCGGCCGAAGACTGCATGGGGAAGGCGTCGTCAACGAATTGGCCGACGACGAATTGCTGAGCGGAAACCTTGTCCAGCAGCGCGAGCTGCTCGTCGGCGGTGCGGAGCGCGCCGATATGACTGTCCCAATCAGGGGTGGCAGAGAGCTCGGCGACTGTGGCCTCTAGTTGCACGCTGGTCCAATCAACGGGGCGCGTGGAGCTATCGAAACGCGAACCGACGCGCTGCCAGCTAAGGGTCGCGCCTGCGGGGGGCGCGATCCCCACGCCCACGACACGAGCCTCGAGCTCCGCCACCATGGCGCTGACGAGCGCGCCGAACAGCTGGACGCCCGCCTTGCGCCCCTGGCCAACGCCGAAGCCTCGCAACTGGACGACGCGACCGAGTAAAGGCCCCCAGCGGATCCGGACCTGCTCGTCGCCAAGGGCCGCGTCGGCGAGCAGCCACATGCGGCCGCGTACTCCTGCCTCCCATAGCTGCACGCGGACAGCATCCCTCCAGGTGAGGTCAAACCCTTTGGCCAAATCTGCCTTCATTAAGAATGTTGGCAATTTGGCAGCGGCTCGCGATTGAAGCACGACAACAATTCCCAGGGCGAGGAGGGTGGAGTCCCATTTCCCGCCAAACTGCGTACCCCCGCTGTGGGAATCCAGCAACGCTTTCACGGCCTGCAACCACATGGCATCGAGAACGCCGGCAAGCTCGTCGATAATGCTGATCGGGCGGGTGTTCACGAGGGCAGAAACCTGGACAGGCCCCTTCTTCCTGATTGGAGTGATGTCCCGCAACCACCCCGAGGCCACCAGGCCGAGAACGGCCGCGAGGTTGACCACCGCCCACGTGACCTGGGTGCCTGCCATGGCAACCGAAGCGCTTCGTGGTAACCGTTGGCTAGCACGGTCAACGTTGATACTGCGCAGGGTGTGCGCGACAGTGACATATGGAAATGGGTCTCCCTCAATATCCCCGGCTACCCCATGGAACGCTTCCCGGCGGATGCGTTTTAACTCCCCCCTTACCCATTGGTTGCCTGCTCGCGTGCCGGGGCCTGCCGCCTGCGCGCGCCCAAGAACGTCGTCGGTGAGCGCCTCGACGATTTCCTCTGAATCGAGCAAGCGGCCGTCGGGCC